GAAGATGGAGCCTCATGTATTTTAGAGAGAGGTAACTGTGGGTACTCTCTGTGACCTGTAAAAGTAAGCCGGGGAAACATTTGTTTGGTCTTTTTTGCAGGTATCTGAAGCTGTTCACCTTCCTGCCTCTGGCGGAGGTCGAGAGGTTGATGGAGCAGCAGCGAGCGGATCCGGGGAAACGCCTCGCACATAAACGCCTGGCTGCAGAGGTGACCAAACTGGTGCATGGAAAGGAAGGCCTTGAGAGCGCCAAGAGGTCAGAAAATGCTGTGCTTTTGGTTTCTGTTATATTAAACAACATTTTCAACATGATTTCTCACAGACAGTTTTGAGAAAATGTTATTGGGATCAACCTAATTAAGACCGCAGAGATTCATATTGTTGGGGAATAGCTTAGTGGAGAAGACAATAAATCCTTAACTCCACTTGGTTTCTCTTCTTTTTTTTTTTTTTACTTTTCAGGTGTACCAAAGCCCTGTACAGCAGCAGTGTGGAGGCTCTGGAGGAAATGAGTGATGAGGAGCTGCAGGAGCTCTTCAGAGAAGCTCCCTTCCATGAGCTGCTGTTGGAGCCAGGCACCACGGTGATAGACGCCTGCCGCAGAGTCAACGCCATCCCAGACGGACCCAGAGGGTGAGTACCCAAATCTGCTCTGCTCCTGTCTCGTCCTTGCTCGTCACAGACATATTTTTTAAATACAACACCAAAGGTTCATAAACTAAATCCATAATGTCTTGAGGCCTTCGTGATCAATGCATTGTTCAGAAATCCCGTTTTTCCTTTTGAAGCAATGCAGAGAACATCGTGAAAGAAAGTATTGAAATAGGAGTGCATAATAAGTACACGTCAACGCCTTTGTGAATATTTAAGGGTCAGTGAGTCAACAGCATATTTTCTCCTTCCACTATGTGTACTGTTTAGAGGTGAAGTGAAAGTTAACTTAGAGCGATGTTTCATAGAAGTTGACTACATTTTATCTGCATTATTCAGTGGAAATTTGTAAATATGTTTTTAAAATATGGCTCATACACTTTCTTTGAATTTTAAAATTCTGATTAATCCTATTTATTCAAACTGTTATAATAAGTAACCATTCAAAACGTCTGTATGTGGAGTTAAATGGCTGAGGTATTTTGCTTGTCCTCCAGCAAAGGGCACCCCAAGTCTCACGTTATACATGCCTCATCCGATCTATCCTCAGACTTTTAGTGTTAGTGATTCAAATGGAAGACACATGTTGATGTTGATTCTGAGCTGAAAGTTTTTACAAACTTACAACGATCCAACGAGTATTTAAAATCTGACTTTCTGTTTCCTATGTGTCCTGGCTTGAATGCCGTTCCATCGAAGTGGATAAGAAGGGCCACACAAATGTTAAAAACGCTTTATATGAAATACACTACAACAACTAATGTGATTTTTATGTTTATATGGGTTTTCAAATTACTGGTTAATAGACTCTAAAAACCAAATCTAGTCTTTTTTTTGTTCATCTCATATTTTGGTATTTCTACAACTAATGAGTGGCTTCAACAGTCGTATTACTGGGCTTTATCGTTTCATTAAGATAAGAAATCCATTAAAATGTTCAAAGTGCATTTAATGAATTTTTAAACATCTCTCTTTTTTGACCCAGATGCAAAATGTTATTTATTATAGTAGAGGAACTTGGGCCCCTAAAAGTTGCGATACCAAAGCAAAGCACAACCATATTTTTTCATAACTTTAACATGTCTAGTTTATGAAACGGATGGTTGTATAAAAATATTTTACTGCAAAATAACTTTTTTTGGTGTTTGTTTGGATCTTACCAAAAAAACGAAAAAATAGTGAAAATTGGGGCTTCTGCGAAAGGAACAGCTCCTGCCTTATCACATGTATCTCTGGAAATCAGAATGCCACCAAATTTGGACTGGATGTTCACAGACAGTTATTCATAACAATAAAGCAAAGTTTTTATCCATACCATTGTCGGTTTTTGAAATTCAAACACTTAAGCACACATGTAGTTTAGGCGAAAATTGAACAATGAAACAAGAATTCAAAAGGTGTGTATGTCAAACTCTGTCATTTTTAAAGTAAGGACACCAATCATTTATAAATGTGTCATTTTTATCTACAAGAGACTGTTATCTTATCATAAAAATCAGTTATTTGAATATTGACTTCACCCTCTGCTGTCACCAGCCCCTAACAGGACACTAGTGGAGCCAGCACTTGAGAGCCACCTGTGCAGTGGGGCCCTATTGTGTGTATAGAAAATATGTGAAGAGAAGGACTCAAATATTTTAACAAAACATAAGTTATGATAAAACTTTGAAATAAATAGTTATAAGAACAAGATTTTTTTTTATTCTAAATACAGTCTGTGATTTTTTTTATTTTATCTTTGAATAAAACAGGATTGAGGATACAATGAGAGGTAACACAATGTAACTCAGTTTCAAGAGTTTTCTGTTAACTTATTAATTTGATGAATAATAATTTGATTTAATGAAAAAACTGAGTGCATGGCACGATCAAATGTCAATTATAAGTTAAATCACAAGTCTTTATACTGTCTTTGGTAGTATTATATTTATGTAGAGGTTTTTGGGGGGAGGGGGGGCAATGACCCATTCTAATGTGAACACACTGCATGACTAGAGTGTGTTTGCTTTGACTTGACTTTTTTTTTTTTTTAACTACTCACCCTTCAAAACATGGGGTGTTGTTTTGTTTAATGCAATGCAAGATTAGTTTCGTCATTGGAGAGGAAATCTGTGTTTACTGTTGAGCTCAGCAGCCAGTCTAATCTGTCAGACGTTTGATGCTCTGCAGATTTGCAGCAGTGCAAGCTAATACCCTGACTTTTTTTTTTTTTTTTTTACAAAGATGTGTTATCAAGAGGAAACTCTGACCTTGCTGTCTGTTCAAATGTTTGTGCGCAGGTATCGAATGGTTTCAGAAGGAGCAGTATGGATTAACCAACAACGGACGGACCAACCAGAGCAGATACTGATCCCAAAACTCCACATCCTGTCAAATGGACTTACTTTACTCCGAGTGGGCAAGAAGAACTTCTACATCATTAAGTGGCTCAGTCTCTGAGGCTGTCAACCTTTTGTTATGGACCAATTTAACCTTTGATGGATTAACGGGGAAGGTAGGGGACTACACCTTTGCAGGGTCAGTAAGGAGACATTGATGGACTGGTACTTTGGAAGTTGCTGGGTTTTTGCCATATCCCTTGCCCTCTATGATTTTCTGTAGTTGTCAAATAAATATTTATATGTACAGATGTGAATTTATCCAACGGTATTTTATTGAAAATGAGTTGATTTAAAGATCGTTGCCTGCTGTCTCTTATTGATATTACTCCTGTGACATGAACACTAGGGGGCAGTATTATTCAACACATTACAGCGTTGCGGCAGGCTTCCACAGCTGCACCGCATACCCTGCTGTGATCCCATAGGTAAATAATTACTCACATTCTCAAACTAAATTGCGTCATTTTTCACAAACAGGTTATGGTTCTATTTTAAGAACGTAGTGTTTTATTCAATTTGATTCGAGCATGAGGCCAACAGATGTCCTAATGTTGCTGCTTTTTTTTTCGGTCTGAGAGGTTGAAGGTGGAATCTGGTTCAGACAGAACGAAAAAAGGTTTAAGGTACAATTTATAATCAAGATATAAATAGTGTTGATCATTCATATATTCCGTGATTTTAATACTTTAACTTGTTGTATTTTTTTTCACGATTGGCATTCTTTTGACCCTTCAATGCAGATTTTTCACTGTGGTGTAAATAGTCACATCATTTTCTAACCAGTGTGCCGGGCCTTTAGATTCTATTCCTTGTTTTTTTTTTGCTTGGATTTTATTTACATGTATCTACAGACTTCTGACTGAAGACATGTGTGGCTTTCAACCCCTTGTCCATCTGCTCTTTTCTTTTTCTCCTGGGGGCCAGTGGATATGAGGACAGGGTCTCATGTGCTGACCTTGACTTACCCCTCTCAGCTCCAGGGAATCGGTGGATATAGCGTTTCATACAGATACACATTTGCCCAATTATCCGATTTTATTTATTTTATTTTTATTTTTGGAAGTTAGTTCATCATTTTGTAATCACTGTAAGGGACACGCAGAGGGTCGACACCTTGAAGCTTTTAGCTTATGTAGTTTCAGAAATGTCATCCCTTTTTTAAGGTGGAATTTTACTATGCAATACGTTTTCAGTAGAAAGTTTTGAAAACACTTCGACTTCTTATTTTTGCTAATCTTGCTGGTTTTGCAGCTGTTTAACTTTTATAGTTTACAAACATGTATAAGGTTTGAGTGCATGGCTTTCTAGCAGGATTATCACACATATTGAACAACGCACAGATTAAATAAAGGAAATTGGATCATATGAATTTTAAACTAAGAACTTTAATATATCACACTATGTTTATATATATATATATATATATATATATATATATATATATGACATTTGTATGTGAATATTTACAATGACATCAGACATTCTCAAGAGATAAAATAAAAAATGTCAGCAGCTTTGATTACTTTAATAATCTTGTTTTCATATTGGTAGCTAAAATTAGATAAATAAAAATGTACTCAGGGAATTAGTTCTTTTTTTTACAAATAAATGACAAAATATGAATGTATTTAAAATTTAAAGAAGGCTTTGTCGATCAATATTTTTCTGTTTAAACGTATGTTTTTGTGCTGACGTATAGTTTTAACGATTGTATTTTTAATTAAAAGTGTTGTTTTTGTTGCCAAGGGCGCTTTAAGTTTGAAGAAACTCTTACATTTTTATGAGACGCACAATCAATCGTGCTGGATGTTTCGAGACTGCTGGAACTACTGTGGTCCACCTTAAGAGGCGGGCTTTTAAAGCTCTGAGCCAATCGCGGGCCGTTTCGCATTTAAATAGCTCTGTGTTTCAGTATTTTTTTTTTTTTTTTTTTTTTTTAAACCTCCCCCCCCCCCTTTCCCCAGTCAAGCTCCGCTCTCAATCCCTAGTACATCTCTCAATCGCCATATTGGGTACTGAGAAGGTTTGTCTGCCGTTTCTCTCACTACGGACGTATTGACAGAGCGGCTCCTGGTCCTGTGCACTTTGTTTTGATGGTCTACGGAGAGGACTTTCGGCTTCAAAACAACGCGGCTGTTACCGTTCGCCGCTCGACGTATGCATGGCATAAGTGGGTTTACGCTTGTTTTTGGACACCGCTCAGCGACAAGGAGATACCCGTTGTTTTTCCACTTGTGTTTTCTTGTTGAAACTGGACGCTCCCGGCTGTTTGAGAAGAAAAAAAAAATCGCCTTTCTTCGGGGGGTGAAAATGTCAGATGTTCGACTATCTAACGGGAGCCCGACGCTGGAGCGGACGGAGCCCCGGGTGTCTGATCTCCCGCAAGCGTCGCTGTGCAGAAGCCTCTTCGGCCCGGTGGATCACCAAGAGTTAAAGAGGGATTTAAAGAGACATTTGCGGGAGATGGAAGAGGGTGACTCCGCCAGGTGGGGCTTCGACTTCGCCAATCACACTCCGCTGTCCAACACGGGCAGGTTCGAGTGGGAATTAGTGGATTGTAAAGACGTGCCGGGTTTTTACAACAGGCAGCCGCGGAGGGAGAAGGGCGTCTGCTCTGCTGGGAATAACAATATGGATCTAAACGGGAATCATAGCTGTGTTGTTGGGGCTCCGAGTGAAGACAGCGACAGGTCTGAAGCGCCGATGGAGTGCACGGAGCAGTGCACCGGGCGGAGGAAAAGACCTGCATGTCAAGGTACTACGTTTGCAACATAATTACCTCTTTTTGATAGAGAGCCAGGCAAGGGGCTTATTGCATCATGTCACACTGGTGCTATATCGTGGAAAATACTTTTTTTTTTTTTTTTTTTTTTTTTTTTTTTAAACACTCTAAAGTTGGAACATTACTAAAATGCACTTTTCTTTAGAGGGGTCAGACATGCAGTACTACAGTGTAAATTGATACAAAGTGTCACACATTTTCTTTTTAGTTGTTTTTTTTTTTTTTTTTTTGACTGACGATAAACTTGGCCTTTGCAGACTCCTCGGTGTCCGACGAGGTTAGCTTTCAAAGCTTGAGCCATTCTGCAGAACACACACCCAGAAAGATCAGTCCCAAGAGGCAAACGTGAGGACCAAGACGGTAAGGAGAATCTGGCTTTTTTTTACATTGTTTTCTTCAAATGGGCTTCTTCGTCTACACAAAGTTAATGCAGCAACTGTAGCAAAATGTCATTCCCTTTATCAGCTGTTGAAAAAAAATATCTGAATTTAAACAAAATACTATTTAAATAAATAATAAAAAAAAAACAAGTTGACGTACTTAAAATTCCCTTCGCAGTTCTGGTAAAGTAATGATTTTAATTTAAAAAATATATATACGTGAAGCTTTGACAATCACTATTGTCTCAGTGGTCATTCATCTAAAAGTTGTAGTAGTCGTGGTAGTAGGAGTAAAAGTTGTGAGTTTACATAACGTTTCAGTCGTGTTTTTGCTCTCAAACCGGTTTCTGTGCACTCTGAGGAGTTACGAGTCAGGACAGAAATGAGTGGCTGCGAATAGTGCACCTTTTTACTCTACGCCACGCAGAGCTAGAGTTTCCGACTGAACTGTAAACATCAAGTGCAGAACAACAGTGTAGTAGTAACACGTCAGCAGCCACTGCCCTCAGCTCAGCACGGCAGAGCAGGGACGGGAAGGGGCTGGTCTGTGTGTGTGTGTGTGTGTGTGTGTGTGTGTGTGTGTGTGTGTGTGTGTGTGTGTGTGTGTGTGTGTGTGTGTGTGTGTGTGTGTGTGTGTGTGTGTGTGTGTGTGTGTGTGTGTGTGTGTGTGTGTGTGTGTGTGTGTGTGTGTGTGTGTGTGTGTGTGTGTGTGTGTGTGTGTGTGTGTGTGTGTGTGTGTGTGTGTGTGTGTGTGTGTGTGTGTGTGTGTGTGTGTGTGTGTGTGTGTGTGAGTGATGCACACACTTTGCACACGAATGTTACAACACACACACACACACACATCTGTCTGTGTCGGGGCAGAGTGTGCAGAAGAGTCGCGCAAGTCTGAGATCAAGTGTGCTTGTGGGCCACGGTGGAGGGGAACAGGCATGAAATGTGCTTTGTGCTAGCAGGTTGGGAGCTGTCAGTGAGAGATAAATACCGAAACTCTTATTCTTTTTTTTTATGGTAAAAGGGAGAAACGTCTTTTTAAATAGGGCTAAGCATATTTCGCAAACTGAAAGATATAAAAACATGGGTGACTAGGGGGAAAACAATGGTTATACGAAAATTTTAAGAGTTTTGTTTACATGCATGCAATTCTGTTTTTCCCTAATGATAGTAACCTTTTTTTGTGGGGGGGGGACATACTTGGATTATATGCATCATTGTCACAGCAGCAAAAAAAACACAGCTTCTGCAAAAAAACATTATATATTTTTCTGCATATCTAATAGTTTGCACAGTCACATTTGAGAGCAAACAGTTCCTGCATCTAGTTCCCAGGCTGACACTGTAAAGAAACAACACTTGCTGCACAATTCACATGTCCTCATCATATTTTCCAGCACTTGCAAAGTAAACCCTTCTCCTTTTTTGTCAAAGTGTAAGGGGGCATGTAGCAAAACAAATCCTTTGCTTGAAGTTTCAAGTATTTGCATCAGTGTTGTACAAGTTGCAGGAAGTCCAGTATCTATAACTTTACATTAACCTCACTCACACAGGCTTTTATTAAATGTTTCTCTCCTCTCATTTTTCCAACAGAGCCCGAAGATTCCTCCTTTGGAAACCTCAGTGTTGGCCTTTTTTTTTTTTTTTTTTTTTTCTGCTTGGAAGAAGAACTACACAGCATCAGAAACATATCAACTCTCCTGAAGACGGGGGAGGACGCTGTTGAAGCACTGAATAGAAACACTAAAGTTGTGGCACTCAATTAAAAAAAAAAAAAAGTTACTGCCTCTAAAAGCAGTCTATGTAGCAGTGTGCAATTAGGTTGGATTTCCCTTTTTGCTCCTTTTTTTTTTTTTTACTACCTGTGTGTAAATAAATATACATATTATAATATTATATTTCTCTCCAAACGAGCACATAAAAAAGAATTATGATTTGAACACAAATCTTTTATGTAAAAAGGTGTGAATTTTTTTTTTTTATTATTTGACTTGAAGAATTGCAGTGTAGTTTGATACATGTTTCCAAAATGCTGTTTTTTTTTTGTTTTTTTCTTCCCTGAAAGGCAGTGTGACTCTAATTCAGTCCCTAATTGTTACATTCAAAACTAAATCATGGCTTCTTACAGTTTCTTAACAGTGTATCTTCACTACGTCATCTTCCTAACTGTGCAGTGAAGAACGGTACAAATGTAACTCATCTGTTGTTGTTGTTGTTTTCTTCTTTTTGTTTCCCCTTCCTCTGTGTCACAAAGTGAAGGTTCTCCTAAAGGATCCATTTCTCTGAGAAATCAACAAGGAAGATAAAGTTTAGACTTCTGTTGGGATTACCTTTAAATTTCCCCATATTTATTTTGTGATAGGTGCTTTTTGCATCATTTGAATCCTGGAATATGACCTGTTTTTTTTTTTTCTCAAGTTCTCCTGCACACCTCAGCCACATTGTAATGATGTGTTTGCTTTCCTCTGGCGTTTTGAGGTACTTAGTTATTGAAGGACAAAGACCATACAAACTGCACAGGCTGTGTTGTAAACTCTCTATGCCTATATTCCCTTTGTTTTATTTCTCTGTAGTGAGAGAGGGGGGGGGGGTCTCTGAAAAGGGTGAATGTCCTACAATACCAAATACATGGTTGCTTCAGTGCCAGCAGCACCGCCTGTGCTCCTTTAATTGACTTCACATTGTGTTACTTTGTGATGACCTCGACCTAATTTTTTTTCCACGTGTACCTTTTTTTTCTTGTCACCTATGTTGTGAGCCTGCTGAGGATGCAAATGTGAGCGTCCAAAAGCGTCCCTTTATTTGCCTAGAGTGTGGGGTTATATTCAGAGAGATCAGAGTACACCTGGACAGAAAGAGAAAACAGCTTGTCTCAGATAATGCAGTCACCATGCCTGTGTATTTGTGTATATCTTTGCAATGTACCTATGTACATAATTTTGTAAAAACACTGAGAAATTATACTAACTTATTTATGGCGATCTTTTTTTTTTTTTTTAATGTAGAATAAAAAATGGGTTTTTTTGATTACGGTTATCCAAAGTGGCATTTACTTTATTATAATTGTCTTATTTTGTAAAAGCATTTTTTTTTTTTGGTAGTTTTTTTTTCTTACCAATAAGGCTGCAAACTGAGCCTGAAAAAATATTTGATGTGCATTTTGTAATGTGTGGTTATGAAATGTGTTGCAATCAATTAAAAGAGAAAATTGAAAACTGACTGACTTGTTGCTTTTTACACTCGGGTGTAAGTTCACACTCACACACTCTTCTGTGCTGTGTTTTTTAAACTTCACATTTTCCAAGCGATCCCTGTGAAAGAAAAATGCAGATAAAAAAATAGCATTTAATTTTTCTGTTTTTATTGAACACATTTGTGGACCTGGAGAGAGTTGTGCAGCAGCCGTGTCTGTGGATTTCTCTGCATGAAGGCATCCTGGTACAATATAGTGACACTCCCATTATGAATCCTCCAGCATTTTGAGCGGGCTGATGATTGACACTTGGGTCATCCAATGAAAAGGAGGATGGGGAAAGCAGACCACTTGTTGCAGCCAGTAACATTCAGTAACTTATCATAGGGAATGGCCTCTCATGCAGGAAAAAATGTCAGAGCTGTGAGCTCAGGATACGATCCACAACTGCAGCATCAAACAAAATCACTGCAACATGAGTAACTCTTTACTCTTTCACTGGTCTCTGCAGCATGCTGTATGCATGTACTTACTGGAGCGTGTGTGTAAATATGAGTGTGTGTGTAAGTGAGTGAGAGCATGAGATACTGTGTTTTACTTGTGAATCTTGTGTGGTGTGTTCAAAATGTTTTTTTTTAATCTTGAAATTATTCCTGCTACAATTATTTTTTACATTTATTCTAATTTTGGGGGTAAATCTGATTTTGTCTTCTAGTTGCGGTGGTTTTGAATCTGACTTGGGATGAATACATTTGTTCTTAGAATTAAAATCTAAAACTGATAATAAATCATTTCAGTATAACTATTTATTTATCTCATTATATTAAAAATTAATTCATACATTAATAAATGTTTTTATAACGTGGTGATGAGATTCAGTCAGACTTTTTGTGAAATAGAAAAAAAAAACAATCTGAAAAATTCATTAAACTGCTAAAAACAGATACAAGCCTATGTTTGCTCTTACTGAACTTGTAAAAAAATATAAATTTAGTTTATGTGACATAAAAACGTCTTGTCATTGTGAGTGATGTGCGCCAGCAACAACACCATAATCGGAGGCCAGATGCCCTTTTGACCTGTGGTAACTTTACTACACATGTGTCTCAGTCTCTGTCATGGCACATCTTCAGCTGTAAAACACACATTGAAGCTTCCACTGCAGCATCTCTCGGTTTCCATCTAGGGCCACAGACACAGGAAGACACCTGCGACAGCTCTTTACAGCTGGATGTAGTGGGTGTCTGTGTCTGTGTGTGTGTGTGTGTGTGTGTGTGTGTGTGTGTGTGTGTGTGTGTGTGTGTGTGTGTGTGTGTGTGTGTGTGTGTGTGTGTGAGAGAGAGAGAGAGACAGATTAGGGAGGGGGGGTTTGGTCCTGAAGTGTGCAGGTGGGTAACCTCAGCTCAGCCGTACACCCCCACTCTGAGCTCGGCCCATTGTCCCAGTGTGTGGGCCTTTGTGCAGAGGGCCATTGTGAGGGGCCAGGGCCGGTCACTGTTGTGTCTGGGGCTTCTCTGCACAGACAAAGAGCTCGTCTACGAGCCTCCACCCAGCCCAAACAAAACACTGACTGACTGACTGACTGACTGACTGACTGACTTGGTGGCTCGCTGTCTCACTGACTTAATGGCTGACTGGGTGACTTGACTTATTAATTGGATGGAGAAAAACAAAAAGTGTGCGTTTCAGCTAATCAGCTAAACTCAATGTCGATTTTTTTTGTAAAAAAAAAAAAAAAGTCTTCACCACTCCTTAATTTGATAATTTTTAAAGAAACGTGCACTGGAGACTTTCTTTTACATCTGATATTTTTTTGCATAATTATATCTATTGCATTTATATTTTCTAACAATTTAAATATGCCTCCAGGATTTCCTAAGAAATAAATAAACTGTATTAAATGCATTCACAGAGTATAAACTAAATCATATCAAATTTTAAATCATGACAAAGTTGCAAGAAGTTGTCGTAATTCCAGCTGCAAATGTTGATGTCAATGTGTGTGTGTGTGTGTGTGTGTGTGTGTGTGTGTTCGGTGAAATCACTGCAGTATCCACTCATGTTTTCGGGTTAAGCCTTCAAAACAAATCATTATTTCTCTTCATAAATAAGAACACAACTGTAGAGTGTAGCCTGTTATTACCAGTTGCATCGTGGGCATTTTTCATTTCTCTCCAGCCAGTGGGAGTTTTAATCGCACCACACTGATGGAATAATTACACACAGTGACAAAACATGGAGAGTAAAAGGCACACACATTACTCTATGAATCCCATTGTATTATTTTTAGCTTTCACAGGCTCGTCTCTTGTGCATTTTTTTGTACGTATGTTACATGAGAATAAACTGTTTATTGCATGTTAATCTTTTATAATATAAAATATTTATAAAATTTCTCGTCAGCTCTGAATAACTGATGAAAATCTCTTAACACAGTTGTTTCAGGATGTCATGCCTGAACTGAATTGTTAATTTGAAAACCAAAAATGACCACAGCTACAAGTCCAGATTTTCAAGAGGTCACTCATATAGACAACCCTGTGTTGGCCACTGTGATGCAACAGTATCACTACTTGTGTGACAAACACCTTTTCTGTTGCAGCAGGAATGTCCCTGAGAGCATTCCTGCAACACTCCATCACAGCCACCCAAACAAAACCACGGAGAGAACTCGAGGAAATTCCAGTGAGCCGCTCAATCAGAGACGTGGAAGGCCTCGTCTGCCTGCGACATCTCGCATGTGCCAAGAATTCACACTTCCTCGCTATATCAACAGAAACAGGTTATCTTTTCCTGTTAACCGCCCGCCACTTAATATAAAGTCACAAGTTCCTCCCCGTGTTTCCTGCCCAGACCACAACCTACGTCATCGAGCTATTCCCCTGGCACCTCGGGCTCTGAATGAGGGGAAAGCAAGTGCCCACAAACAAACACCTAACCCCTCTCTCTGTCTGTCTCCAGCATCCCTCTAACGGGCTGAGAACGGAACAGAATTACTCTATTTTTTTCCTCTTTCTACACATGCTTTAGTCTTCCTGAAAAATGGGTGGGGTTTGAATGTTTTTTTTTAAAAATACAAATGAATCCAGTGTGCCAGTAAAGCTGTATCAATACAGGAAAAAGTATTTCATTGAAAAGCTCTGACGTCACTTTGGTTCCTCAAACACTATGTGAGAAGTGTGAGAGTCTGGGTGCGAGTGACAGGCAGACAGGAGGGGGGAGGGGGATGTGAGGGAGATGCTGCAGAGCATCGAATGACAGATGTGCAGATGTGCGTATGTGGTGCGTTTTTGCAGGAAAGAAAAGGGAGAAGCGGGGGAGGGGGTGGGGGTGTGGTGGTGGTAATGCTCATTAAAGGAGCGCACCTGCAGCCTATCAAAGAGCCTTTATCTTTTATCAAGCAAATCTGCTCAAGCACGCAGTGCGAGACGTGAAAACAGGCAGGCTGATCTGCACGCTCCCTCTGACTCTCTCTCTCTCTCTCTCTCTCTCTCTCTCTCTCTCTCTCTCTCTCTCTCTCTTCTAACCAGTGGATGGTACCTGGCCCAGTAATCCCATCAGGAATGTCCAAGGATGCTTTCAGATGCATTTGGCCGAGAAAACAGGGCAGTACTTTCAACTGGAACATCTGTGCAGACAAGATACACAAATTCCTTTTTTTTCCCTTGTAGAGGACTTTCTTATTGTTAATCTCTTGACTTTAAAAGCAAATAATCATATTTAGTCTCGTTTCCCTGTTCACTATTGTCTATAAAGCTATCCTGCAAGAAACTGCCCAGATGTCTCTCTGCACTTTGTTGACAACTCAATACAGTAAATGTTGGGTTAGGCCACAGGACATTTTAACTTGATATAAACACTACTTTGAATACTTGTGCAAAGTGAAAGGACTTACAAAACGTTTTGTGACTTTTGATGATATAAAAGATTCTCAGACCTATTGAATGCTACTTGTTTTTGTTTTTCTGCTAAGACTGTGTGTTTGTTGTTGCAGATATCTGTGTTGTGTCATCACTTTCATCGTGAATTAAGACACTCTCAATACAAATTTTTATTGAAAAAAGTATTTAGGGTCATACAAGATCAGAAAATCTTGAAAAATGTCCATCACAGGTTTCCATAGGCTGAGGTCTCGTCTTCTTCTGTTTGTTTAGTCAGACCAGTCTCATGTATTAACAAGGATGTAAAATGAATGAGTGTTCTCGACAAAACAATGTGGAAATAATTTTTAAATATTTTTTTCTCAGTTAACAATACATGCTATGCTATTTTTCCAGCTTTTTTTTGTTGACTGCCTACATAAAAAAAAAATCTGCATACAAATAATTCATAATTACAGCCTGACTAATTGGACCTATTTTGGCCGAGCTCCAACAGAAAATAGTAGAAGTGGAAACAAATCCTTTTTGTGGCAGGCAGGAGTGTGTGTGTGTGTGTGTGTGTGTGTGTGTGTGTGTGTGTGTGTGTGTGTGTGTGTGTGTGTGTGTGTGTGTGTGTGTGTGTGTGTGTGTGTGTGTGTGTGTATCCCCAGACTTTCATATAAATGTATTAGCAGAAAGAAGTCATGTTATGTAATTAGCACAAGATCTTTACAACACACAACATGATGACAGTCTAGGTGTGTGAGGATGTGACGTGCATTTTGACATGATGTAAATGATGCAATTTTCTCAACCTTTGCAGAAGTGAATGTTGCAATAATTCCAGTCAGTCAAAATACATCTTACAACTCTGACCGCAGTATATACAACATCCCATCCAATGAGCCGGCCTGCCCTCTATGTCCAAACCAATGTCAGGGGGGAACACTGCCACTTAAAAATGACACCAGATGGAAAAATTGTCTTCAGGGTTTGTCTTGAATCAGTACCAGAAATGCATCAACTTTCCACTTTTCATGAGCAATAAAGCAACCCACATTTCATATGAATATACCTCTTTCTAACTTTTAAAAAACGTTTTTTTTTGTTTTTTTTTTACATCTTTTCTTTTTTTTTTTTCAGTCCTGCGTCTGCTGCCCTC